TGTATGTTGCACATCTGGGCCCGTATTCTTGAAACTGTTCCTGAATCTGTGTTCAAGCACATATTCTTGTTCCAGTGATAAATTTTTAAAAACAAAATACCATTTTGTCGATGATTTGGAAGACTTTTGGAGAGTCTTAATGTCGAATAAAGATTTCAATGTTTATACCTGGCATTTAGACCGTGTTGCATAATTAAACGAGTTATTAACAGTTAGTATGAGGACAGAATTGATGCTTGAGTATGACAAACATTTCATGAATACCAAGCCTTAATAGAATTACTTTAATTCTGGTTTATTAATGAATAAATAAATAAAGTGTACATAGTAATCACTTATGAATATCCAACGACCAACTATAAAATGAAGTTGTATGCAAGCTCTTTGTCCAAAAAGTATCTTATTACAAGTATGTATTGTATTTTCATTATGAAAAATAGAAATCACTGATGAAGAAATTTTGTCAAGGAGACATGATTTGACAGGCATTCAAATATATATTCTATCGGTTGATACATGTAGTGCAGAACTGAGATCGTGTGGCTGAAAATTCTTAATATCAGATGAGCACATGAACTACAATAATATAATGTACATTTTTTAATTAAAATACATTTATTCCATCATCAAAATCAATATTCGTAATATATTTTTCATTGGAACTCTATTTTACCAAATTACTTTTCAAATAAACTGATGATTGATGTTCTTGACAATCAAATACTGTAAACAATGAACAGTTTATGTCTAAACTACTTTACCTTGAATCAACGTTTCGACAGAAGCACAAAACAGATCGTGGACGCTCCAAGATTTCATTGTCAATGGCTATCAATGCCAGTTTCAAACAGTGTTAATGCGATGCTGCAGACACATTTCTCATTTCTGTATTTCTCTACTGCTGGTTGGAGTACAATTAGAATTATAAATACATGTGGTTTCTGATAGTAATATGAACTATAATTCGCATGATACACAATAAATCATAACATGCAACATTATAGATGAAGATTATCTACGAAATTAATAACCCCATGAAAATTAGCGATTTCACAGTATAACCCTGCTTATATACATCTCATGACTAATTTTGGAAAAGTCATTACTTGATGTTTTATTATCTTTCATCCTTCAACAGATATCAAAGCATCATATAACTTTACTGATTAAAACTGTTACTAATATTTCACACAAAACCCTCAAACCAACGAATAAAATATCCTGAATAATAACAAAAAAGAAAAACAATATATATACATATATTATCTATATAAAACACTATAAGATGCATTACTATACAGCATATAAAAAATAAATCATGCTAAAATGAATACTTTCTTTATTACCCCAATTTCAAATTTAACAAAAATATTCAACAATTCCATCTATCCACAAGGCACTATAACAATATGCTAAAATAAACCCAAGCTGATATTTTCACAAAGAATATCTCTTATTTAATTAAAAGCAACAAACAATATAAATGTGTACAATATAGATTTAAGCAAAATTTATATTTCTTGTATTTATAAAGATTTGTACAATATTTATAGATATGTACAATAAATAGATTTGTACAATGTATAGGTTTGTACAATCTACATAAATTTGTACAATGTATATAGATCGGGTTTGTGCAACTTACAAATTCGTACAATACAAATACATGTATATACCTGTACAATATATATCATACAGGTGTGTACACTCTATATCATACAGGTTTGCACAATATATACTATACAGGTTTGTACAATATATAGTATACAGGTTTGTACAATAT